GAAAGAGATGCTGAAACCTACAACTGCCTGGGTGTTCTGAAAGTGAGCTGAAGGATCCAGCTTTGGGCAAATTTATGCACACATGTCGGTTTCTAAAGAATTAGATGACTCCTTCCAAAAAACCCTGCCAAACCTTGACGGAGGAGGTTTAAGGACAGCTTAGTGTGGTAGTTGAATGTGAAAACCTTGGGTTGCAACCTGCCGTGTGGAACACGCACATGAAGACTGCCCTCTACTGAGTCAAAGTATTGGTGTATCGAGGTTAGTATTGTCCACTCTGACTGGCAGCAGCTCTCCATAGTCTCAGGCGGAGATCTTTCATACCACCCACTGTTTGATCCGGTGATGCTGGGGATCGAACTGGGACCTTCTGCATGCCAAGCAGATGCTGTGGCACTGGACCACAGCCCCATCTCACTGCTGTAACCAGGCACAGCATCTTTGTCAGTACTCTACTCCAGAGAGGCAGGGCTTGAATTCCCACCTCCTTGATTGAGTACTTAAGGCCTCAGTCCAGCCTCTGCGGGAATGATACCTACAATTATTGCTCTGCTGAATGCATGCAGCTGCTCCGATCACCCACCCACCCAGCCCAGCTGTCGGACCCCGATGACCTCAACGACGGTGCTGACTTACTTTTTCCTGGTCTGGCTGACGTAACACACTACGGCTATGAGGATCGCGAAAGCTACAACTGCTCCCACCGGTCCGACTTTTGCCCACATCAGACTGTCTGAAAAAGACAGAGAGAGACATGCGCAGGATTGGCAACGATGATTTCATGATTCTGCAGAGGAAGAAATAGGTGAAAAAGCCAGGTTGAGGTTTTAGAGCGTAGCCAAGGAATAGGCAAGGTGGGTGTTTGAGCTGTGACAAGGGAGCATCTAGCTAAGTCTAATGCTTGTACCGCCTGCTGGTGCCATTTCCTTAAGGCTTTGCTTATTATTATGAGTGCGCATGCACATAGCATCTTCTTAAGAACCTGCTCACATGTTAAGAGTTGTTGATGGTCAGTTGCCCTTTCCAGAGCCAGCTGGAGATGCTCCTTCCGATGTTTCTTTAAATAGCAGTGATGGCTGATAGCACATGAACAAATTTCGAGTCCAGCGGCACTTTCAAACCAATGAAGATTTATTCAAGGTATAAGCTTTTGTGTGCACGCACGCTTCTTCAGATACAATGAAATGGAAATAGAAATAACAGTCATACCTTGAATAAACCTTTGTTGGTCTTAATGGTACCCACTGGACTCAACATGTGTTCTACCACTTCAGACCAACACGGCTGCCCAGGATCTGTCTGTAGCACATGTGTGAGTGGGTGCTGGAGAGAAAAAAATGGTTTGGAGACAGGAAAGGAAGCACTGGCTGCAGTCACACGGAGCATTAGCCATGCTACTGAGACGGATGATAGGTGGATTTTCCAGGCGCGATCACACCGCAACATCTGGGAAGCGTAGAGCTCCCATCGCGAACCCGAGGCTTCCCTCCAAAGATGTGCAGTTAAAAACTAGTACCTCCAAGGTACTAGTTTCCGGTAACTGCGGGGCAAGGGCGGGCGTCTGATCGTGTTTCCGGTGGCATCCAGCGCCCGCCCATGTCCCCTCGCAAAAAGGTGTGT